ATCCAATGGAAACAGACTTAGCAAATTCACCATGCTGTACAAGAAGCATGTGGCTTACTACATGTCCACTCAAGATGCTTCTTCACCAAAGAGAAAACATAACAACATCAGGTCTGTGTGGCAAGGTGAGGAGACTGATCTTCCTCAAATTAATACATTAAACAAACAGAAGTGCCATTTTTCCATCACATTTTCTGCATTGTTTTTCACTGTTTCAGGTTTGACTAGTGTTAATTACACCATCTTGTTGTGCTGCCAGCTGTATGTCTCTATGTACTCAACTTCTAATATCAACATAACAGTAGCTAACATTTAACCAGTCGCACAGTGCCTTTTGCAGATTTTCTTCCAATCCTGTTAAAATTTGCACTACACTTAGATGCAAACTTAGCTACTGTTTTAACACTGTTATTTGATACATTGTTATTATAAAAATACTGGTTATAGCCACTTAAACAAACCCTATAATCAGAGGGAGTGTGTCTGTCAAGCTCTGGGTCAAACTCTGAGTGGGTGAGAAAGAGGGACAGAGACAAAGAGTTAGCTCTGGTCTACTGTTTGCTCATAACATTGGAATGCAGATTCTTGAGGCCTGTACAGTGAACAAAAAGATAACATTCTGCTTTAGGTGGCAATTACTGATGGGTGACAAATTAAAGGAAAAACCCGAATGCTTGACCCCTACTGCGAGGGGATCCCTTATGGAAGCGGTCACTTCCAGGATGACAGTGCCCCCATCCACAGTACACCAGGGGTCACTGAATGATTTGATGAGGATGAAAATGACATGAATCACATGCTGTGGCCTCCACAGTCACCAGATCTTGACCCAATTGAACACCTATGGGAGATGTTGGAGTGACGTGTTAGACAGCGTCTCCACTCATCAAAACACCACACGAAAGAATATCTGTTGGAAGAACGGTGTTCATCCCTCCAGTTGAGCTCAGACACTTGGAGAGTCAGTGAAGCTGTTCTGGTGGCACATGGAGGCCCAGCACCTCAATGAGACACTTTATGATGGCTTGTCCTTCCATTTATCACCCATCTGTAGCATAGACACACAGTCCAGGAGGGATTACTCAGCAGGTCCTCTACAAGTTCAGCCGGTCGACTCTGACAGCTGCAAGCCACTGAGCAATTACTAGTTTAACTTTCCTTTCATTGACACACTTTCAGTGCAGGCTATTTAGGAAGGACTATAATTAAAACAAAGGGTCAGGACAGCTTATTGAGGTCTAAAGTGTACAGAGCTTTTTCTAACCATAAATCAGAAAAGATTCTAAAATAATAATCTAACAGGCTAAATTAGATTAGATTAAACTTTGTTGTCATTACACATGTACAAGTACAAGGCAACGAAATACAGTTTAGCATCTAACTAGAAGTGCAATAACAGCAGTGCAGAGTGCGCAGTATCTACAGCATGTACAGTCAGAACTAAATTACCGATGGATACGTACAATTGATATTTACAGTAGATATGTAGGGTATATTTACAGTAGGATATGTTGGGTAATGTACAGTATGCACCAGATTATGAATTTAAATTACAAGTAATGGATAAGGTACATTAAGCTTATAGAACACTATTGCAATGGGAGGAAATGAAATTAAATGACACAAAATAGTGCAGAATAAGAGGATAACAATAAGTTACATGAATGAACAGTTCAATGGATAAAAATAGTGCAAAGATAAAGATAAATATCCAGTATTAGCATATGAACAGTGTGCAAATGAATACAGAGCAGTATCCTGTGAGTAGAGTATGTGCAAATTAACAGATCACTTCAGTGTTACAGATAGCAGGGGTGTATTGCATTAGTCCTGGGAGGAGAGATGAGAAGGGCTGAGGTGTGTTCAGTGGTATAGAGGAAGGCAGTGGGGGTTAACGGGGGACAGAGTTCAGTAAGGAGACAGCTGTGGGGAAGAAGCTGTTCCTGAGTCTGCTGGTTTTGGTCTGGAGGCTCCTGAAGTGCTTCCCTGAGGGTAGGAGGTCAAACAGTTTGTGAGCAGGGTGAGAAAAGTCTTTGAGAATGCTGCGAGCATGTCAGAGACAGCGTTCATTGTGGACACATGTGGACATGCTCAATGGCTGGAAGTGGAGTCTCTGTGATGCATTGGGCAGTTTTCACTACACCTTGTGGTCGGAGACAGAGCAGTTTCCATACCAGACTGTGATACAGCTGGTCAGGATGCTCTCGATGGCACAGCGGTAGAGGTTCACCAGGATGTCTGAAGACAGGTGGTTCTTCTTCAGTGTCCTCAGGAAGAAGAGCCTTCTTAACCAGACTGCAGGTGTTGGTGGTCCAGGACAGATCCTCTGAGATGTGGGTCCCCAGGAATTTGAAGCTGGAGACATGTTCAACAACCATCCCGTTAATATGGATGGGGCTGTGTGTGCCTCCTTTCTCCCTCCTGTAGTCCACAATGAGCTCCTTGGTCTTGCTGGTGTTAAGAAGCAGGTTATTGTTAGTGCACCACACAGCCAGGTGCTGTACCTCCTCCCTGTAGGCTGACTCATCATTGTTGTTGATGAGGCCAATCACCGTGATGTCGTCTGCAAACTTGATGATGGTGTTGGAGCCATGCACAGGCCTGCAATTATGGGTGAAAAGGAAGTCAAGGAAGGGACTTAGCACACAGCCCTGCGGTACGGCACAGCGGTAGAGGTTCACCAGGATGTCTGAAGACAGGTGGTTCTTCTTCAGTGTCCTCAGGAAGAAGAGCCTTCTTAACCAGACTGCAGGTGTTGGTGGTCCAGGACAGATCCTCTGAGATGTGGGTCCCCAGGAATTTGAAGCTGGAGACATGTTCAACAACCATCCCGTTAATATGGATGGGGCTGTGTGTGCCTCCTTTCTCCCTCCTGTAGTCCACAATGAGCTCCTTGGTCTTGCTGGTGTTAAGAAGCAGGTTATTGTAAGTGCACCACACAGCCAGGTGCTGTACCTCCTCCCTGTAGGCTGACTCATCATTGTTGCTGATGAGGCCAATCACCGTGATGTCGTCTGCAAACTTGATGATGGTGTTGGAGCCATGCACAGGCCTGCAATTATGGGTTAAAAGGAAGTCGAGGAATGGGCTTAGCACACAGCCCTGCGGTACGAGGATAATGGTGGAGGAGCAGGTGTTGTCTGACCTAACATACTGAGGCCTGTTGGTCAGAAAGTCCAGAATCCAGTTGCAGAGAGAGGTGCTGATGCCTAGGTCTCCAAGTTTGGTGTGTTAACTTGGAGGGGATGACTGTGTTAAATGCTGAGCTGAAGTCCACGAACAGCATTCTTGCTTTGTGAAGTGTTCCTTGACCTTTAGCTTGTAGTGGTGCTTGGCCGTCTTGATGCTCTTCCTCAGGTTGGCCCTGGATAAGCTGTAGGCCTGTGCATCACCAAATCTGAAGGCTGAGTTGCAGGCCATCAGCAGGAGCCGCACCTCCTTGTTCATCCACGGCTTCTGATTTTGGTACACGCTGATCTGTAAGTCATTTAGCTCATTGAGGAAGGAGACATCTGTGGTTGTTGGGGTGGAGTTGCCAGGCTTGTAGTCACTGATGACCTGGATGCCATTCCTCATAGATTGGGGGTCAGAGTTTGTGAAGTGTTCCTTGACCTTTAGCTTGTAGTGGTGCTTGGCCTTCTTGATGCTCTTCCTCAGGTTGGCCCTGGATAAGCTGTAGGCCTGTGCATCACCAAATCTGAAGGCTGAGTTGCAGGCCATCAGCAGGAGCCGCACCTCCTTGTTCATCCACGGCTTCTGATTTTGGTACACGGTGATCTGTTTCTGGGTTGTGACACTGTCAGTGGTAGTGTTAATGTAGTCCACGACAAAGGAAGTGTAGGTGTCAGTGTCAGTGTCTGTGTGAGAGTCACAGGTAGCCTAGGAGGCAAACATACTCCAGCCCGTATCTCATCCATCTTGTTCACCAATGATTGCACACTGGTGAGGAAAATGCTGGGTAGAGAGAGCCGATGTGGTGTTAGCTTTAACTTAGCTCTAACTCCTCCGCCCTTTCTTCGCCTTTACTTACAATCTCGACGCTGCCTGCGAGTGCTTCCACCCGGCCGGCTTGGGAGCGTAGCAGTGTTTTGGAGATTTCAGGGATGAGTCAAAGATGGGAGATAAAGCTGTTGGAGTCTGATATCCAAAAGTTCTTGCCAGGTATAGGATATTAAGGTGAAGCTGTTTTGCACGAACAGACACAAAATGAGCAGGAGAATCACTGCAAAACTGTAAAATCTGCAGAGACGCTGAGCCTGGCCTTGTGCACGTGCCACCATCTTAGTATAAAAAAAATTAGGAGTATTACATTAGGAATATTACTAAGCCTTTGATTCTGGAGGAGCATTGTGAAGTCTGAAAGAAAAACTCCAGTGAAGTCATTAGGGTTACATCAGCCTAAGGTCGAGACATTTTTCAAGTATAAATTAAAACTGGAGCTGTGAAAAAGAGGTCATTAAGTTCCATCATGGGAAATGCAGGCTCCAGCAGGACTTGACCTATAGCAGGGACTAAAAATCAGGATATCTTGGCCTCTGCTGCTTCAGTTTTGTCCATTTCTTTTCCAATTACTTTAGGTACGATGCTAAATTGCTGTAGTACCCCCTTAAACACCAGCTATTAGCTCATTACCTCAATAGATGTATTACCTTTGCGTAGGTCAAAATTTGAATACTAAATACCCATGAAACGGTCGATAAAATAAATGACTAATGTGATGCTCCTTAGCCTACAGACATGGGCCTTGTTGATTATGTGTAATGTCAATTTTAAATGTCCTAAGTAACTTTAATTTAATAAGAATTCAATAATTAATAATATCTGCTGTAATAGACACCTACAATATGTCTGAATCACAAAAATACATTACAGATAGATGAAAGCAATAATGTTATGAAATCCTCAATTTGAACGGGGCTTTTTTAGGTTTAAGATGTGTTTGTACAAAATAACTATGCTTTTTGGTTGAGTGGGAAAGACTTCGGACACTGTGAGTTTACCTCTACATGGTTGGGCAGGGTGTTGACAAATTTAAATCCCGGTATCCTCCTCTCGCTGCAAAGCACACCCACATCTTCACTGTGTTTGCAGTCTGAAACACCAATCCCATTGGATGGACACAGCGCTAAGGTCTTTTCTTTGCCAGTGCAGTGGAGATTGTCGAACCAGATGCGTCCTGGTGAGACAAAAGGCAGAATTATCAGCGCTTCATTTTCCCTCTAGTAGTGGAAACAACAATAGTGATATTTTTATGAGATGACTAAGCTCCTTTCCCCAGAAACTGTGCAACATTTACCACCCACCATCTTCCGGTTAATAACAGTACAAAGTGAAAGTTCTTGCACAGGGTTTCCATCAATGATCTGTTCAACCAGGGCTGGCTTTGTATGAAATATCAGATGTTACCAGTTCTTGTGAGGAATATGATGATGTTTGCTTTAGTGAACATTTATTATATTGAATGTGTTTCCACCCTGACATGAGGAAAAATATGGAGGCACAAGTGCTTCACTTCACTTCACCTTGTCCTTTCCCATATTTTGATGATGGTGACCATGAGATGGCCTCCAGGTAGCCCAGCTCACGGCACACCACCTGAGCTGCATGGATAGTGAAGTCGTCATCACAAACAGTTCCCCACTCGCCGCTGTAGAAAACCTCCACGCGGCCCTCGTTGTGTTTCCTCTTATCTCCTGCCAGTCGGAGCTGAATCCTGGGTGTGTCTGGTGACAGCTGCGGGGCAGTGTAGTGTTCCTGCTCTGGCTCGGGATAGCCCAGTGGGTAGCCAAGGTGCTCGTACTGGGCAAGGGCCAGCTTAAATAGCACTAATAGAATGACAGCACAGCGGGGTAGGTACTGAGTGGCCAGCATTTTGGTTGAAACTGATGAAAAGAGAGGAAGAGCCATTAAAATTCCTTGCCAGATGTTTCAGATATTTGTTCACAATGGTACATGCTGTTTATTACAGAGGATCAGACTGAAAAACAAATATAAGAGGGGACATTAAAGGGCACATCATCAATTTTACACAAAGTTCATTTTATTGTCTGAGAAAACTACCCCTAATGATGCCATCTCAACTTTGTCTGAGAAACCTTATATTTGTAAATGAAAGCCTCTCTTACAAAATGGGGACATGGCATTTGGGGGTGCAGACAAAATATGCTATCAAGTTGCATTACAGGTAATGTTTGAGCCACTATCTTTGAGGCTTAACCCAAAGATAATCAGAACATCTCTGCTTGTGCTGCTTTGATTTTAACCATGTTTTTCTTTGTCCACAACCCCACAAAGCCACCTCTCACCTTGTATACAGAGGCCAATGCAGAGCGTTGCACCAATTTTCCTACCTCCCATTGCAGAACAAAAGAGGGTCAACACTGACCCCCCATGCTGGTGGTTTGGTAGTGTTTATACAGAAAGATGTGGTGGAAAATTGGCACAATAATCCCAATTTGAATGGGCTAGGCCCAATTAAAACGGCCTAATGAAAGTGCCAATTTAAAGTGTTGAAGTACCTCCTTGAACAACCAGCCATCAGTTATGTTCCACTTGATATATGAAAGCTGCACTAATCAATATTTTTGTTGACAATGGATTACATGACTCCAGTCATGGCCAAAAATACTGGCACCCCTGCATTTTTGTCAAATAACACACCACTTCTCCCAGAAAATCGTTGCAATCACAAATTCTTTGGTATTCTCATGTTTATTTCTTTTGTTTGCATTGGAACACAAATCTGATACGTTCCACACAGAACTCCAAACATGGACTGGACAGACACCTTTTCAAAATCACCAGAAATAGTTGTATTTCCAGAATGTGATGCTCCTTTAATTTGTAATGAAACTCTCCTGTAGCAATCAGCAGGTAATGGCAACATAGAAATCACACTGGCAACCAGTTAAAATGGAGAAATGTTGACTCAACCTTTGTCATGTGGACCACACTGAGCATGGAGAAAAGAAAGAAGAGCAAAGAATTGTCTGAGGATTTGAGAACCACAATAGTGGAAAAGCCTGGACAGTCTCAAAGCTACAAGTCCATCTCCAGAGATCTGGCTGTTCCTGTGTCCACTGTGTGCACCACTGTCAAGAAGTTTACAGCCCATGGCGCTGTAGCTGATCTCCCTGCACGTGGACGAAAGAGGAAAATAGATGACGGGTTGCAATGAAGGATTGTTCCAATGGTGAATAAAAACCCTTGATCAAACAAATTCAAGCTGACCTGCAAGCACAGGGTGCAACAGTGTCAGCTCGCACTCTCAGTCGCCATCTGAATGACAAGGGACGATATGGTAGGGGACCCAGGGGGGCCCCACTGCTGACACGGTCCCTACAGTCAAACATGGTGGAGGTTCACTGATGTTTTAAGGTTGTTTTGCTGCTTCAGGTTCTGGATGTCTTGACTGTGTACATGGCATTATGAAATCTGAAGACTACCAGTGAATTCTGGGACACAATGTAGCACCAAGGTTGCAATGTGAATTTTGGAAAAAGTGACAGCCCTATTGCTTGTAGTGACAAACCCCCAGACAGCCTTCAGTTTCCTCCAGCACTATAGAGCGATTTAGTCATTCAGCTCAATGTTTGGTTTTAAGGTTTCGGTTCACTCCCTACTGCTATCTTAGTTTACAGCAGCAACAGGAAAGTGAATACTGTACTTTCACAAATCCAAATACAGCAAATGCTAATGTTGCTTTGTTTCTGCTGGGTATGTAGAAAGGAAACTATTTGCTAACAGCGTATAATGTGATGGTATGTTAACATGTTTACAGCTTCTTTCACTGCCCACAAGCGGCCAAAAAAGTTAGTTAATGCAGCTCTAAAGTTAGTCTAAGTATCTTCTTATAATGCAAAAGGTTTCTCATGAAAACAAGATTTGCATTGCATTATTATAGTTATTGTGCTTAAAATATAACCCTGCATGTGCCACTGGATATAGCAGCAGTGTAGTGGTGTATCCACAAACCAATCAAATTTTAAATGCACAGAATTGTTGAAATTTGTGTTAAAGCATTTGGCAGGAGACAAATGCTAGCTCCACTGCAGGCTCTCTGCTGTCTTGATTATATAACGTGGCAGTGATTACACAAGCTAGAAGCAACACACATTACAGAATGGACAGATGGAATGAAGCCTACTGTCTCTAGGCCTGTGTACAATGTGTCAGTCCAGTTACATTGTCATTAGAAAAACACAGTGAGTATGTACATAAAAAAACCCACCAAGGCAGTGAATACAGAACTGAACTTTTCAGAGCAGCCCATTCCCCAGTGAGTATGTACATAAAAAAACCCACTAAGGCAGCGAATACAGAACTGAACTCAGTTTTCAGAGCAGCCCATTCCTGAGTGTAACCCATTTCAAACTGAGAAAACATATGATCTCTCTCCTGATTTCTCTGGCAACAGGGCTGACATTAAGAAGACATGAAGAGTGGATGAAGCTGCAGCCACTTAATCAGAGCAACATATCCAGGAAGTTCTGGTCCCACTTTCCTTTAATGACCAAACAAAATGTTAAGAAGTTTGTTGAACCTGAAACCTCTGTTGCTTTTTGCCTCAGAAGCACTGACAGATGTTTCTGGATCAAACAAATTATTCTCATGAGGTTGCCATGAAAATACTTCAGAATGCTTTTAAATAAACTGCATTATCTCAATGTTAGCTCCACCAACTTGCCAATGCCAGCTCCAGGTTGGAGGGCATATAAACATATTGATTTCACCTTCACTAAAGTCAGACACCAGTCCACTTGCAGCTCGATGGGAGCTTCAGTATGCATCGGTTGAAAAGGTCAAAATGTCAGTTTTTCTGAATGTCAGTGGCTCTTCTTGTGTCCTTGTCCGATGCCCTCATAGGAGAGCTGCACTGCATTTAGACAAAGAGAAAAGAGCTGAGACTGAAAGAGACCAAAAAGGTCTGGACTGTGCTCTCCTCTTCTTTCCACAATGTCTTTTGACATACACTACCACTCAAAGGTTGGGGCACATTTTCTCATTCAATTCAGTGGGAAAGTGTCCATACTTTTGACTGGTAGTGTACCTTTTTAAATATTTTTGACCAAAACAAGAAAAACAAAAGGCCCAATTCAAATGATGAGAATATTGTATTGTAAGTGTACAGTATAGAAATACCTGCAACTGATGCAACGCTTTTCTGGTGATATAACAAGGGATGCAACAAATTATTATTTTCATCATAGAATAATTTATCAATGATCTTTTAGATGATTTTATTCATTTTTTTGTCATTAAAATGCCTGACACTGAAAAAAAAAAAATCTCATTACAAGTTCTCAGAGGCCAAGGGGGCATTTTCAAATAGGTTATTGTGTCTGACAATTCAAAAGCAAAGTGTAGTCGATATGCTATAACATAAAACAGAAAAGCTGCAAACCCTCACACTCGTGAAGCTGGAAAATGTACAGCTTGGTGTCAAAACCTGACAGTTGATCAGTCAATCGATAGATTAATCAAGTGTTTTAGCTACTAATGTAATTCTCTCAGGTTAATACCATGGACATGTGTAAATATAAACAAGACAAGACTGTTTCTATTGCTCTCTATTTGATTTTGCACAAAACACTTTAGACCTAAAACGTTCTAATCCTGCAACAGATTTTAAAAGACACCATCTAGTAATGTAAACCATGTAACCACTACAGGCCAAAGTTTGAGACAATGAAAAGGTCTGTTGTTAACATCACAGGACAAAACATCATTATTGATCACCACCCAGGCAGAGTTAATACTCGTTAAGAAAGGCCATCTTATTCTGTTCAGATGCTGAGGTGACCTTCCATGCTTTCGGGCTCTGGTTAAACTTACTTTTCTACTCGGTTCTCAGGGTAATCCCCACTGACGCTGTGCGTTCCTGCAGGCTTCAGCAATAGTATGCGTGTTCAGTCCAAAGCCCAAAGCCCAAAGCCCAAAGGCTGCTGCTGCTACTGCCCCTTCTCTCTAAACTTTCACTCACTCTCAAGCAAATGTGGGCCAGACTCCGGGCCAGAGCCGCGGTGGCCCCGCCCACTGAGGGACCACTTTAACCATTACGTCAACCGAGCCCGGTACGTGGAACAGCGGAGCGACGAGTCGTGCACAGCGCGGAGAGTTATCACAAGTTACAATGCTGCTTTCAAAGACTGTCGGAGAAACTGAAAAGCAGTATTTATTAAATCAAGGGTACTTATTTCTCCCTGGTCAGGTCTCATATCTCAGTACAGTATAAACCAACACGGTTAAATAAATAAAATAAAAGTAAGTTAAACATGTCCCTTTAGCTTTAAAAATAATCTATTGCAAGCAAATGCCTCTAGGAATAATCCTGCCAAAAACTATTTTACTAGCCTATATAAAGGCTTATAATTTACCCACATAAAAATAGTCTATTTTTACTCTGATAAAAAGGTAAGCTGATTTAAAATAGCAGCTTTCTTGGGCTCAGTAGAGCTTTTTAACATCTTTCAGCTCGTTGTTTAGTTTTTTAGGCTCATGCCCACAATATTACTATTTTGGTTCAGTCTTACAATTCTCAAAAGTAGTTTATTTTATTTTTTTTACTGCAGCAGGTGATTAATAAGAGCAGAGATAAACCCAGTATACTTACTGTGGCCCCCTGGTGGTCCGCAAAGTCACTGCAGCTGGTCCCTGACCATACATTCAATGATGTGGTTTCACTGTAATAATCATTAGTTTTTTATTTCGTTTTTTAAAAACACATGTTCATATATTACTCATTTTACTGTCAGTAATGGGGTGAACTTTGCAGTAAAAGTAGGCCAAGTACAACAAATTCAATTACTGTTCTACTTATTATTATTATTATTATTATTATTATTATTATTTGTTTTAGGGCTTAGATGTGTTAGGTCACCTTCTTATCCCAGTTTTTTTTCCTCACAACATAAACCAGAGAGCTCACTAGTGACTGTGGTGCAGATTTGGCAGTGTGTTGTGTATTTTGGTGAGCAGGAGGAAATCAGTGTGTGCTGTGAGGACAAACGTGACTGTGAAACAGTACCACAGAACAGCTACAAAGTCTCCAGAACACATGTATTAAGTGTCTGAAATTTATGGCAGTCTTATAAACGTTTTAGAGAAGAAAAGTCAGAAAGAGAAAATACAAGGGAGCTCAATTTGTTTTGCTGTGGGTGTTTCAAACTTTGTTGTGTGACATCACTAATACTTATTATGACTTTAATAACAAATTTTTTACCGAGCTTTCACTGAGGTGTCTGATGATTATGTCCGCCATCACTTTCACTCTATGTTGCTACTGCAACATCCATTGAGACTTACTTTTATTATTGATGGTCATGATTAGTGTTGCGTTAACTCTGTTGCTCTTCCTTTCTTTCATTTACCACACAGCTGAGTTGTCACAGAGTCCAGGCAACAACCTTGGCCACAATTTTAGCCAAGCTGAACATGTGACACACATCTACATCACACATTGGCCATTCATTTTCAGTCTTCCTTTTGTAGATATTATTTCCCCTTGGGGACTAGTAACATATAACCTGCAGAATAACAAACAGAAGTGTGATCTGCCACACAGTTTTTTAGCCAGGAGGTGGAGTCTGTGCTGGCAACCTCGTGATAATGACATGATTATGACAAAAGTCCTACAGGTTGCTGCGCCCAGCTGAGAAAACAATCCAGCATATAACCCTCTGTAAAACCAATGACTAAAATAGCTCAACTGATGGATTGTCATAGAATATTGCACATGTATGTCCCCCTAAGGATATGGATATTCCTTTTCCTCTAGCACCATCATGAGGTCAATATTTGAATTTGTCCAGTACTTTGGTTTATGACCAAGAACCTGGAAAACTACTGGCATTTCAATCAGCATCACCTGTACTGTAATGGTGAAGGCTGGTTATGCTTTCCATTAGAATCAGAGTTATGAATCGACACTGTGGTCATGTGTCCTGCAGCAGCCCCACCTTGCAGCAGTCAGTTCAGAACTGTGAGACATCTGGTGGTTTCACTCTCCCAGTTCAGTGTTGAGCTTTGTGGTGTATGCATTCACTGCAAACTTCCCCAAGGTTTTCTCTACTTCTGTGTTTTGTGGCTTTGGCAAACGAAACATCAGCCATGATTTGCCATTAAAGTCAACTCGTGACAGCCTGTCTGTGGTGGACCAGGAAGTGTCAGACTAATCCTACCTGTGGCTACGTTCTATGTTCATGTTCTGCCTACTTGTGTTTTGACTGTCGAGCCAGATAACATCTCAGTTGACGAAAACATCGTTAAGTAGTCAAAAATACATCTCCTGTCAGTTTGCAGCAAACCTTAAAGCACAAAAATAAAATTCTTTCACAGTAAGACTGTGAAAATGTCATTTCTGCTGCACTGACTCACAGCATAGTGAGAAATGTGACTTTAGTTGGACAGCCAGACTGTTTGCTTTCATTACAGTTTTAGAAAGAAGAAGTTTTAGGAGGTTTCAATTTGTTGCCCAGGAAGTCCTAAAGAACTCTCAGCAGATGGCCCCAAAGCTGACAAGAGGCATTTTGAAGGATTCTTTTAGGTGGACTTCATATGATTTATTAATCAAAGTACATCTACAACTTGACAGTTCTAGAAAACCACTGAAATCTTCTTTTTGAAAAGAACTGTGGGTGTTTGCTGTACATGATGATTTGCAGAATACAGAATCATGTGAGGTAAGAACTCCTACATTTGTATAAGATTTTACATTTAGGTTCACACTCAAAACAGAAAAATAACAATACATATTGCTACAACCTCATGTTAGTCCATGCACACTGTCAGCAATAATTTAAGTCAAAAAGACATATCAGTCATACAGTACATCTTCATAAGGCATAAGGTTCGTACACATGCAGCGGCCCGGGGGCCCTCGGCTCCAGACAAAATTTCGTTGTACATGTCACAATGACAATGAAAATAAAGCTTCTTCTTCTACAAGCTGACAAGTAGCACACTACTTGCCAACCTTGAGACCTGGGAAATAGGGAGGATTTGAAAACCACAGTGGGGGGTCTGGGTCCTACCTCAGAAAAATTTGAGGTAAAACAGCAGGTCCCTGAACAGGAGCATTCATGGACATCCAGTAACCTCAGGCCCTGTGTTTTTCTCCACATCCTATAGTTACAGTGCAGCAGCAGCAGGGAAAATATATCCACAAAACCGGAAGCAGTTGAAAAATTCCTCTTTTACAGTGGCACTGGTGGATGTCAGGCAAGCACACATGAACGCACATGGCCTGGAGATTATGACCATTCAAGGAGATCCTTAAACTATCACATAAGACTTTATTTTGTTAGAAAAAATGGTTCGCGGGTGAGACAGTACTAAAACATACGTACACCTCACTTGTTGAGCTTTAGGGCACGTCTAAGATGATAATTCACTGTTGTAACATTGTAAATGCCCAAGTTCAAAGGGGTTACAAGTCTTTCTTTGGTCATGTTCATTTGTGCTCAATATCTCATGCACCTTGTTTCACTGTCCAACAACAGTCAGCCACCATTGATGGATTCCATTTTCCCTGAGACAACTTTTCCAGTGCGGCAATGTTTTGGTGAAAGCTTTCACCACTCATCACTGACCGCACCAAGATTTGTGGGGAAGAAGTCCAAGTGTGGATGGAGAAAACGAATCTTCAGTGACATGTTGCACTTCATCATATGATGTGAAGTAAATAGACACTTAAAATATGAGAGAAATTGCAAAATAAGATGTCAAAATGATAGACAGGTTTAAAGGATTCAGTGACAAGCAGCCAAAAATCTGTCAGAAACACCCAGAAGTGTTCAAAAGTCTAATCAAGCAAAATCTAAGCTGTCCATTGTTATTTTCTCTCAGAAAAATCTTTTTGCTCAAGTCAAATACAGAAACAGATTAACAACGCCATGACGCTGTACTTCAACACTGCAGTGCTTCGAGCTCAATGTTCACCTCAATTGCTAACATGTTTACATTACAATGCTAGTATGTTGAAGTTCAACAGGTACAGAATGTTTGCCATCCAGTTTACTGCATAACGTAAACAATACAGTACATCATGGGAGAGCTTATACCGTGTACTGAGGGAAATATCACCTCTGTTTTGATTTTATTTTCCTTTGGGCAAAAAAAACAAAAAAAAAAAAACAATCTTAAATATAATTTCAAATAAATATTTACAGATGCAGATAATTCTCACCCACTCCAGAGAACTGCTTTTACATTCAGAGGATGACATTTTGGTCCTCTTTTAATCTGGGATAGTTGAAGCGATTTTGCAGGGAAGGGTGTGATGCTGTGAGCAGTTTTGCAATGTCCAATTATTCATTTTCTTCTTGAAGCAATGGCTGTGGAAGAGAGTATAAAGGGATAATTAACACTTTATCAAATTAAAACCTCTAATCTCTGTTACTGCATATCAACTAAACTGATATTCTTACCGTGTAAGTCATATCCTCAGGCTGAGAGTCTGGTCGCTGCCATTTATGGTGGGACAAAACCTTTAGGACAACCAAGCCAAAGGCTACAATCAAAACTCCCAATGCATTTCCTAACTGAGCCTCAGGTGGAAGGTTAGTATATGGCTGAGTTCCATTGGCATCTCCTTTACTGTGAGGGGAAAAAAAAAGTTTTTAGACAAGTTTTACATTTTATCTGAAATGAAAGAATTCATAAAGAGTAACAAAGATGGCACTCACAGAACAAAGAAGAGTTTCTCATTGATTCCGGAGATGCAGGCTGCAATGCTGAGCACCAGTATGCTGCCTCCCAACCACACATGGATGGGCTTCAGGAGTTTACGTAGTGATGCGGGTGACCAGGGCAGGAGGAAGCCAGCCACACCCACTACCCACTAAATGGATAAACACACAGAGACATCTACAGATACAATGAACGGAAAGGCGCACACAAAAATCACGTCTCAGAACAAGAAAAAAACAAATGCATGTCCACCTTACTGTATTTGGCTAACAATGTGATTCTCGTTCTGCATCTAAACTTGTATACCTGCATGGCGAAAAGAGCTGTAGCAGCAATTCCAATCCAGCTGTGCAAGGAGTACAGGTTGGGAGTGTTTTTGGCATTGTGGAAATCAAATACAGCACAAAGTCCCACGATAGATAGAACTAGGGCAATTAGCATCAGTGCAGCATGAAGCAGCTTCCAAGGGAGTTTATTCTGACCCCAGGTCAGGGGGATGCGGTACAACACAGCTCCTGCAGGGGAGCAGCACCAACAGAAAGGATGCAGAATTCATTTAAAAGTCATGTACAGATATGTTCATTTGTGCTCTGTAGCAGTTTGCCTCTGACAGGTGCTAAAAAAAAGCCTGACGATATCACCAGGGTGATCTAGATTTGAGCCTTTAGACTAGACATTTTTAACCAAAATGAGGCAGTGAATTGGGGGGATTCTAATGAAAGATACTACTGAGTTGCATTATGGGAAATGCAGGGTCTGGAATTTCAGGAGCTAGACTTATACTAGAGAGACACGGAGGCCAATATTATATCACTTGAGTATCCTTTTAAGAAAAACATGAACAAGTGGTGTACTTTTTTGAACATACTCATTATTGTTACCATTCAGGTTTTGATGCACCTATAAAAGTAAACTGTTTTTTTTTCCTCAGATTTTATAGGCTGGTCCTAAAGAAACTATTTCATTTCAATTATATATTTTGAGTGTCAAATAAAATGTAAACACAAACAATGCCTAACCATCTAAAGAAAATAAATCTGGCTGTTTACTGTTGAAACCCAAATCAGTAATATGAACATACTAGTGTTATGGTAGCCCCCCTCACCAGGAGGGTGAGGGAGGACTGAGGTTGGACTCAAGTTTGCAGACCCAGGTGCTAGGGGGAAAAACATAACGGTTGCTGGTAAAAAGAACACAAACGTCTCAAAAAGAACATAACAAAGTCCAAGTACGTATACGGTCCGGGTAGAGTGGAGATGGTGAAGGGAATCAAAAAATGGTGAATCATGGGACTGACGGCATGGAAGATAAAAGCACGTATATTGAGTAACGAGTAGCTAATGTGGATAAGGTCAAGCCAAAATGCACAGGAACTGTCAGCGTAGCATCTTACACACATACATTTACGCGGAAGAAACAATCATGAATCACGTACTAGGGGTAAGTAAAGTTATGTATCATATGTAGTGTGGTGCAGTGTAAGTTAGTGTAGCCCGTAAGTGGTGTGGTAGAGTCAAGCCAAAACGCACAGGAACTGTCAGCGTAGCATTCTAACCCCCTGTATATTACGCGGTACATACTGTAGATATGTTCCGGCGAAGACGGAGCGTCTGCCAGAGGTTTATATAAGGAGGCGAAGGTAATCATCGGGACGCACCCCAGCTGTGTGCATCGACAAACCAGTCGCTAATTACTGGAATGCAACACAGCTGAGGTGCAGAGCCCACAGGATAGAGAGAGCAGAGGAGAGAAAGACGGAGGAGAGGCAGCGGCCGCCGAGCGGCCCTGACAACTAGTGTACAGAATCTGAACCATGCATTATAGATGTTAAACCAATGGTTCCCAAATTTATTTTTATTTATGACTTCTCACTATTACGTTAAGCCCTGGGTCACTTGTGTTTCTATAATTTGTGAGGAATTTAACTGAATAAGTTTTCTCAGGCATCTCATTTTAATTATTTAGAAAAGAAAGAAAGTAAGATGTGCCAGGTATAGAGTATACATAATAAGTAAATGTGCACTGTTCTGTGCCAATATGTGCAGAACTGAACACTGTGTGCAAAGATAAAAACAAATGCCAGTATGTGCAAAAACTAGCATTATGTGCAAAGGTAAAACCAAAGCAAAACAGTCACTATGCACATTACCTCACGTCTGTTACTTACATAATGCATCAAATTATACACTAGGTCTGTATGCAACCTGCAAGATGTAATTAGCTTAATACAGTCTGACTGTCAGAAGGTTCAACAGAAGTGAAAAACAGAAATGAAACTTTCCTATCCAAATTTAAAAAGTCACTCACCAATACCGTACACCACCACGAGACCTGTGACCATCAGGACGGGGTGCCAATTGAACTGCAGGGCCGTGCCATCCCAGGCAAATCCACCACGCCACTGTTTATTCCACACGCACACACACACCACGCAGGCCAGGCCCAGGCCCAGGCACAGCAGGTAGCACATGTAGAAGATCACAATGGACCTCATCCTGGAGGGATCTGTAGGCTAAAACCATAAAGAGAATAAAATGAATACAAGTTTAAGGCATCTGTACTTTACTTGAGATTTTTTCATTTTCCACTACTTCATACTTTGACTTCACTACGCTTTAGAGAAAAATACTGGACTTTGTATTCATTACATTTATTTGCTAACTTTAGTTATTAGTTACTTTTCAGAATGAAGTTAATAAAAAAAATACAGTATAATCACAGCATTCATTGATCCTTGATGTAAAATTCGCAAGATAGCCAGCAAAAATTCATAAGGTAGTTAAAATTTGCTCCACCTTTACTAGCTGCAACATCAAATGTGATATACACAATAACGCATCAGTAGTTCTATTCAAATAATATGATGTACATCAGTGTACTTTTACTTTTGGTATTTTATGCTATACCTTTACTTAAGTAACATTTTGAATGCAGGACCTTTGGTTGTAACAGTATTTGTACACTGCAGTATTGCTACTTTTACTTAAAAAAACAATCTGAGTACTTCTTCCACCACTGTAAATTGTAATAGAAATGGTTGAATGGAAAACGCCCTCTATCCTTTAACTGTTTGGTTCAGTATCACGCCAAATTCAACAGTTTTATCATAATAATGACATTTAATTTATACCATTAGAAACATGTCCAGGTGTTATCTTACCTTGTCCACGGCTGTTGCAACACTGAAAGCAGTTCTTACCCTTGGACGCTGAGCTTAACAACACACGGTGTAAAGGTTATTACATTATCTCATAATTTCCCGTTGAATCATGACTGATACTCACATTGTTTGCTTTCAGTTCGTGTCTCTGTGCTTCAGCTGAACTCTCACTTCCACATTCAGCTGTAGTGAGTTGGCTGAGGGGGAAGAAGTCAGAGGAAGAACAGCTGGGAGATGAAGGGCCACCCCGCTGCATCTGCTGCCTATAAATAGAAGGAAAGTGGGAGTATATTAATTAGTGTGAGTGGGGAGTAATTAGCAGCATCCAACCTACAAAAATCTCGTTAAACAAATATGCTGAAAAAATATCTGGTTATATAAAAAAGGAATTCAACGGAGTGACAGCTCAAAGTGTTCTGCTCTCTTTTCCATGTGTAATCAAGATATCAAATTAATGTTATGTAACCTCAGTGGAAAGAAGCAACAACTGCCTGGAAATCAACAGTAACACAATGTCATGACATTGCAGGCTAATGTAACGTCAAATAACGCTATCTAATTATCAAGTAGCTAAAGAACATTATCTACTTTTATATCCACCTGGAGATGTAACTTCACACTGAAAACATTTTAGATTAACCCAACCAAAGAGTGTAATTTATATACTTCTTAAATGATTTAAGCCATTTTGTGGCGACTGCGTCTGTTCTCTGTCAGCAACGTCGCCCTAAATTCGCATGTTTTTCAAATGAAGTCTTGTAAACTTGCCGTTTTCAGTTAGCGTAGCAAGACTTCACGTGTTCAAAATGCATGTAATATACCTCACAAATAGTGTCGACAAGAAATGTTGCGTTTACAGGTAAAGCCGGTTCTTATCAGTAGAATTGTTTACATAATCTATTTCCTTGTTAACACCGCAATGCCTTGTGGGAAATGTGGTTCTTAAGCTTAATCACGAAATTCTGCTATTTAATTAAACAATCTAATGTCGTGCGCTGTATAGCTTGATATTATACTGTTCCTCTGGCGCTATTTTTTTTCTCCAGCTCGAACCATCTGCCTCCCTACTACACTGATCAGTGATCACCTTAGAGAAATTAGAGAAAAAGGGGGAAATGAAGATCGAATAAAAGTACGCGCACGTGCAACATTAACACAAACAATAAAACAACAACAACAAAGCTATACACTGAAGCTAAAAACAACACATTTGGGGTTTGTATAGCTACAAACATGTGGATTAATAGTGATGGAATTACTTTGCTTGCCTCACTGACCCTGTGGTCACTGGATGTGGCAATGACAGTGTGAAAATCTAGGAAAAGAGACCCAGGAAGGGGTCTGCCTCTGCAGGCGCTCACCTGTAGAAATCTGTTGTCTTTCAGCTCCACCTGGACGCTGTTTTAATCAGTATTTGCATTTCTGCTGTTCTCACCGTCTCCATGAGCCCTGAAGGGCCTAAGTGTTCATGTCCTAAAAAATAAGACTACACCATACACTTTTTATTTTTATTGTTACTCATGGGTGTTCTACTTAAAAAATAAACATTTTGAAGGCACAATTCAAACTGGGTGCATGTACTAAACAAAATAATATGATACAAGAATTTAGTGTGATTAATTTAGAGTTTCTCATAATGTTAATGCAAATTTGTTTTTTGTTTGGGGGGTGAGATGTAATCTCAGAACAGAGCATGTTGGCCTGCAGACGGTAAAACTCTCCTGTTTGTAGTTTGAAGATCCCAAACTTTCAGTGTGTCTGTAATACATGTTATGTTTGCTTCTTTCCATAATTAAAACAGTGCAAACCATGGTGGAGGTTGGCATATAATTCTGTCTCTATGCTCATTTAAAACTTCACAAAGTCTCTGTTAGGTGCCTCAGAGGTTGTCTTTGTACCAGTTACAGCTGTTAATATATTGATGTCAAATGAAGAACTGACTCTTTAAACTCTTGCTAGGTGCACACTAGAAGATTTTAAAATCTTAACCAATTTTTAAAATGTGATGACAGATATAATAAGCTTGAAATTATTTAGTCTTTTCAGCAGAAAGTGGGCACCTAAATAAATAAACATAATTCAGGAATGCTAAACACAGAAAAAGTACAATGGTGGCAAAATGTTTTCACATTAAATGCCAAAATTCTCAATGAAAACCTTCAGACTGCTCAGGATCTCAGGCTGGAATGAAGGTTTAGATTTCAACAAGACAACATACCAAAGCATACCACCAAGAAAAAAATAGGAAAATTCTGGGAAAGTCCTAAACCCAACAGAACATCTCTGGAGAGACCTGAAAATGGCTGCACACCAGCACTCACCATCCAACATGGCTGACCTGGAACAATTCTGCAAAAAAGAATGGAAGAAAATTCAAAAAGAAAGGTGCAGAGCTTGCAGCTTCATCCTCAAGAAGACTCGAGGCTGTCATTGCTGCCAAAGGTGCTTTAACCAAGTGCTAAGTGAAGCGTCAGATACTTATGAAAATGGGATATTTTAGTCTTTTATTTTTTAATACATTTTTAAAACTCAAAAAACCTGTTTTCACTTTATCATTGTGGAGTATTATGTGTAGATTGGTGAGGAAAAAACAAACCCATTTTAAGAAGAGTCTGAAATATAACAAAATGTGGAAAACTTGAAAGGGTCTGAAAACTTTCCATACTGACTGTATACAATGAAATAATAAGGACATTAAAACTAGACCTCGGGACTATGTAAAAATGCAAACCCAATGTATGGTAGGGATATTAAGACCCCTGTTATTTTAGGTTCTTGCATTTATCACCTTATAAAGAGCACCACAGGGTCGCTTCTCAGAGTGTTTTCTGTGCCAGTACTGACATAATTAATCACCAGAGCCAGATATACCATGTGTGCATGTGAGAATTCACTTTAGCTGCTGCACACTTATTGAGTTTAAACTGCTTCACTGTCTCAAAATAATGCATGCACACCATGCAGTCCCAGGTTTGTGCTGCACATACTCTTTTTTTCAGATTAGCCATGTTGTGTTAATTTGCTCAGCAGATGCAGGAGATGGTGCAAGCTTTAGGGTAGTAAAGATGATGGTATACGTTCAAAGTAAAGCAAGCCTGCCTCATATCACATTCTGTAGTAAAGGGGTGTGCAAAAAGAAAGTGCTTTATTTTATAATATGAACCACACTTTGGAAAATCTTTCACTATTTGGTGCAGATTCACTGAAAGAAAATGCCACAACAAGTCACTGATATCTTTTTGGAATCTTTCAGTATAATGTCTGCATTTGCTTGTAGCCAGGATTCCATCTAAGGGAAGGAATAGATAGAGGGCCTGACCTCCTGTGCCCTAGCATTATTCCCAAAAACAAACAAGAATCATGCCTTAAGTGAGTGCAAGTCCCTGGCTTTTATAATCAAAGTATCTCAGATCCTCTGACAGACTCCTTGAAGTGATGTTGCCAGATGCTCCTTCTGTTGCCCTCTCAGTGTGACTGGTCTCGGCTGCATAATGTTGAGGATGGGGATGTTTGAGCTGGCTGTATGACACTGTCAGACTGCTCCAGGCTTTTGTTAGAGAACATCTGAGTTAATGTGCAATGTTTTCTCCTCTTCTTCTTCCTAGATTCTGGCATGATATGGACTCTGTCTTACCCTTATAGTCCTCAGTGGTTTTTGAAATCACAGATGCAGAACTCAAGTACAGGCTTGACATCAAGTCTCTAGTCTCTGGCTAGTTCGTATGAGTTTTGCAAATCACAAAGAACTAATTATTAAACAACGGTCTATGTGCCAGTAGCTCTGCGAGGCTGTACTTAGGCACAGTGGTGCTTTGGTTCTCAAAATAACAATGCATCTATGTTATGTTTATCAGATAAGTTTTATTGTACAGTGTTCACATCATAGTTTAGCTAATACACTAACACTGGCTATTTAACAATAAAGAGAGTACAGCTGATGCTCATGGTAATGACCAATAGAGATGCTGACAATGCTACCATACTTTGGGTCTCTGTCGTTCTGAAAGGTGAACTGTCAGTCCAGTCTCAGGTCACATGCACTCAGAAGCAAACTTTCTCCAAGGACATCTCTCTATTTATCTGCATTCATCCTTCTCTCAGTTATGACCAGTGTCCCTGTCCCTGCTGCTGAGAAGAATCCCCATAGCATGATGCAGCTGCCACCACCATGCTTTGCTGTAGGGATGGGAATAGCTATTACTGCTGTCATTACTAAAAGTCAATAGACGGGCTACTTTAGAAACTGTAATAAAAAAACACAACACAGGCTAATATATAACCCATGTTCCAGAAAATAACTGCTAAACTAATTCATATTTAACAGAATTAGATATCCAAGATTACAAAGTAGACTCCCATAAAGATATATAATTGTATAACCTGTCTGAACCAGTCACAACTTGATAAAAATGTAGAAATTTACTGCCAGTAGGTTTGTTTCATAATTCATTTGTCATTGTTTGGAAAGCTGCTAAGGGAGGGTGTTGATGAGAGGCTCCTGAGGTGAGAGGTTTTGAGACTCACTGATCTGACACCAAATCTACTGAAAATATTTACACAAAGTCACACAAAAAAACACAAAGGCAGCTCATGAGCCATAATAAATAAATATTCTGCATGTCCTTATCAATCTAGTTACATGTGGTATTGAGAGCAGGGACAGTCAATCAGACTCCTGAACAATCTGCACACCGCCGTCACTCACTACAAGTGGTGGGAAGTGGAAACAGTGCAATCCACTTTAGGGGTGTTGTGTTAGATGCTTCTTTGAGTCAAGAAAGTAAAAAATATATTTCATTTTATGATTAAAGTGTCAAAGAATATGTAAAATTAACTACACTGAACTGTTATTTTTACCTGCACCTGAAATTTACATCCTGGTGCTTGAGGTTGAGCACACCTTTATAGTCTTGCCTTGATCAAAGCTTTTTCACAGCTTTATCACAGAGGTCTACAGAGAATTCCTTCGACCTCATGACTTGGTTTTTGTCCTGACATGCAGAGCGAACTGCGAGACCTTCATAAGACTAAAATACTTTAATTGTAATTACACTCCTTTGGTGGAGGGAAGAAAGAGGGGTGAAGGAGATGCACCTTCAGCAGAACTGGACTGGACAACCTGGTGCTGTAAAACACAGACACATTCAAATTTACCAACTACTGTCATTGAAAAGAACTATATATTTTGTAATTTTATTTGTTTGCAGTTTAGGAGTTCACTAATGTCCATTCCATATATAGTAATGTGGGAACACCATATGTTAGGGGAAAAAAAAGAATATAACAAAATATAATTCAACAGCACCACAAGCTACAGCCTCCAAAAAGATCATAAGGTGGAGTCAACACTTGTTCAGATTAATTTTAACTGAGTGTACTGTGTTCATGAATGTTTTTCTCTATAAACTCATCTTAAACCAGATGAATAATACACCATGTTCTCTGAAACACCAATTAAGGCTTAAATCAAATCAAATCAAATTTATTTATAAAGCACTTAAAAAAAAACATCCAGTTGACCATCCATTCATTTATAAAATTCTATTTGTAAATGAAAAACAAATTTGTGGTTCAAATTTAGAGACTAATTAGACAAATTACACATTTAGGGATGCTTGTAAAATCAGAAATGATCCAGTTCAAATCAAGTCAAAATCAAATCAAATCAAATTTTATTTGTATAGCACCAAATCACAACAAAAGTCATCTCAGGACACTTTGCAAAGTAAGGTCTAAACTTTACTGTTATCAATATTATTACATTGGGAAAACCCAACAAATCCCCCTTGAGCAAGCACTTGGCGACAGTGGGGAGGAAAAACTCCCTTTAATGGAAGAAACCTCCGACAGACCCCGGCTCTTGGTGGGCGGCCTTCTGCCTCGACCGGTTGGGGTGAGTGGATAGAGGAGAGACAAAAGAAGAAAAGCAACAAGACACAACAATCAAACACTGATCAG